AGGCAACTAAGGGAATTCTCCTCCTCTGGGTCCCCAGATCCATCAGCATTCTGGGCAGAGTAACGGATACATAGCACATTTCAAGGAAAGAGAAATTTGCCAGGAAAAAGTACATTGGACTCTGGAGAGCAGGATCCAGTTTGGTTATTAGAAAGATGGTGCCGTTACTCATCAGGATAATAATGTAGATGGTTAAAAACAATCCAAAAAGATACCACTGTAGATGGGGCAAATCAGCAAAACCCAAGAGAACAAATTCTATAAATTCAGTTAGATTTTCTTCTGGTGGTTTATCATGATAATTCATCTGTGGAAAAGAAACATTTCCATGCTTATTTTCATTTTCTTACTTTCCTGTATCTCTGCCTCTTTTTAAATTTGAATTTCAGGATTGAATTTCATCATCACTGCCATTATTTGCATTTTAAGGAAGACACTATATTATGTACATTCCATATCTTCTTGTTAAACTTCAGTAAACTGTGCTGTCAAATATATTGTAAGAGTATTTCATGATGCTCAGTGCAGGCCTGAATAAATAAAGCTATACAGCACTCCACAGAGGCACCAGAACAACTCTTAATTGCCTTCCTCTTGCCACTAGATTGCATTTTAATACATTATGCATCCTGACGTTTTTGTTGAGTCTATGTATTTTATCACTCAAACATTTCAGACTCCATGACATTAATTTTTTTTACCAACATTCATTTTCAATGGTGTTTGTGAATGTTTCACTGTCCCTTCAATTGATCATTTAAAATATAGATTCCTATTTTCCATGTCAAATTAAGTAGCTGGGAAAGAAATTTAGATAATACTTCACTTTACATCGGGAAATAAAGCTGATATATTTTGATAGGGTATATAATGGGCAAGGTAAGAGATTTTCATTTACACAAAAATATACTGGAACATTGGTTCAGTGGTGAAAAATAAATGTTTTCCCTAGCCAAACAGGAGCAGCAGAGAGATCACCCCTCTCGGGTGTTGTAAAGCAAGGATGTTACTTTTAGGACAAAAGGTGTCTGGTCCAAGTCATGGTATTTTCAACCTTGTTATGTATGTGAAAGTTGGACATTGAATAGGAAAGACTAAAGGTGAAGGGATGCATATGAATTACGTTGTCCGAAAAGAATATTGAAAGTAACACAGATTGTAAAAAGAACAAACACATTTGTCTTGGATGATGTACACCTAGGATGCTCCTGAAAGGCAAAGACAATGAGAATTTGTCTCATGTACTTTCGACATATTGTCAGGTGAGACCAGTTCCTAGAGAAGGAAATTCCACTTGGTAAACCAGAGAAGCAGTGAAAGTGTGGAAGCCCTCAACACGCTGCATTGATACTGTGGCTACAACAATGGGCTCAAACATAAGAACCACAGTGAGGATGATGTAGCACTGGGCAGTGTTTTGTTCTATTGGACATAAGGTTGCTATACGTCTAAACCGACTCAATGGCACATAACAATAACAACACGTGACTGTGTATGGGACAGGAGGAAGAAAGTCACTGGTTGTTACAGTATACTGATTATGTTTGGTGAACCCACCGTTGTTTTTGCTGCCCTTCAGAGAACAAAACGTCACATAATTGTTTCTTAACACTTTTCTTTAGATATAAGATATTGAGACTAAGTGTGGATAATTTTACCTGTTGCACATAAGTTGTATCACTGCATGTCAGTTCCTTTTTTCCCCATGTAATTCACTTCTTTTTAAACTTACACTCTTCATGGTTTACTTTAAGATTGATATTAAGCACATACTTATAGTTCTTAAGGTTTAGTTCTTTGATTGTGAGAATTGACTGAGATAAAATCACTTATCTGTCCATTTTCTACAAGTTGATTTTTGGTCGTGGTTCTGTGACTTTAATTATGGGTCACTAAATTCAAGACTTCACAGATTGGCTAACAAAGCTGAGAAAAGCTTGTATTTGGTGGATATTTTGGGCAATTTTTGTGTGGCACATCTATTGTCTTTCATTATTACCAGCCTAAAGACTAGCCAATGAGACGCCTAAAGTAGTCATTTTAAAGAGGCCTTCAAGGCTGTATTTGCCTGGTCATGAAAGTGAGTGTCTTCCTAACTTTCACATCACGGGAGACTGTTGCCTAACCCTGCCTTTCAAGTCTCCATTTTAACGGATTTGTACTTTGTGCACAATGTAGAGTGATGTGTGGTGCCATTGTTTTAAAATGAAAAACTAAACGCCTTGTTACTGGGTCAATTTTGACTCTTAATGACTCTATGGGACCAAGGGCACAATAGGGTTTCACAGGCTGAATGTCATCTTTGTGGTTGCCACTCCACATGTTTCTCCGGCAGAGCTGCTGGTGGTTTTGCATCACTGACCATTTGATCTTTGGATTAGCAGATTAGAGTTCAGACACTGAACCACCGAGACTTTCTGCCATGGTTAAAGAACAATATTTCCAGGTGGACTCTATTTGAATTATACTCCAACAACATCTACCGTCTGATGACTTTATATAAATTAATCTTCCAGTGCCACAGTTTGTTCATCTGGAAAATGACAAGCAACTCTACTCGTATATACTATTGAATTATGATTTAAATCATTTAAAGAAGCAAAAGGCTTGAAGAATTCCTGACATTGAGGTTATTCTTATTGTTAACTATTATTGCTGTTGTTATTGTTTTTACCAATTACTTATTATTAGTATTATCAATAATTGGTGTACACAATGTGGTACTCTGTCTTTTGTTCTGAATTGTAATATAGGAATTGCTATAATCATAAGGAAAGTATTATGTCTTAAAAGTGAGATATTTTAGACTCCCACGTGGACTAAAGAGTGAAAGTTTTATGTATTACCTAATAAAAGACATTAAAAAACTCTTACTGTGAAGTGTCGTCACTTTCAAGTCACAGTGACCCATGTACAACAGTATGAAATACATCCTCACCATTGTTTCATTTGAACTTCTTGTCGCAGCCACCATGTTGATTCATCTCATCCAGAGGCTCCTCTTTCCAGTGCCTCCCTGCATTACCAAGCATGATGGCCTTCTCCCTAGATTGGTTCTTCCTGCTAAGGAGTCCAATGCTCATGAGATGTAAGGTAGAATCTAGTCATGCTCGTTCTCTATGGCCTTCAAAGGACTGGAGCGAATTGTTCCCCGTCTTCCTCATTTTTAGTCCTGCTTTTCCATGCAGGTGAAGGGATTGAAAATCAAGACAAGGGTGAGGCACACTTCAGTTTTCAAATGACATCTTTACTTTTTAATACTTTAAAGAAATCTTTTACAGAAGATTAATTTAAATGAATGTGCTACTCTTTGTGTGACTACCATGTCCATACTCCTCGGTTAAAGATCCAAGTACAAGAAATCCATGACAACTTCCATATTTTCTGTTCAAAATTTTGCTCATTAGTTTCGCTGTTAAGATTTTTATGAATGAATAACTTTTTCACAGTCTCCAATTTGCCTAAATTTTAACTTTGCTTCTACTTTTTATGTAAATCGCAAAAATAAACCTGGAGACTAAATATATGACAATATAAATTTGCAAGCTTTAAAAAGTATTTTAACCTTTATCTTAAAAATATCATTATTTCCTATAAAGTAAAATTTTCTTGATTGCCAAAATAATTGGGTTTTTGTTTCATGGCTTGCAATATCCATGTTATACTTTATATCACTATTAAAACTATAAACAGAAGAAAAATCCATAAATTTAAGTTACTACAAAGTCTTTGCAAGGAATCAAGTTTCCTTATAATATAGTTAAATAACAGAAAATTGTAGTTTTCAAATTTTCATTGTTTCAAAATATTTTGATAGAGCTGTTTAAAACCACTCTTTAAGGGAAATTCCATTGAAGAGAATCAGAAATATATACAGAATAGTTTAATAAAGCAGCACATTTGTTACTCAATATTAAATATTAAATTTTTATAGCATCATGAACTACATTTAAATATGAATATAAAACAGTTCATATTTACCTGTAATTTTTGGAAAATGTTAGACATGGTAAAAGAATGTTTAAAGCCCACAGCTGCTAAGCAAAACTTCTCTGTTTCCAACCCATGTGCTCCACAGGACAAAGACGTGCCCCTCTGCTTCCGTAAAGATTTTCACACTTGAAAACCCTAAGAAGTGTTTTTGCTCTTTTCTATAAGGTTGATAATGATTTATCATCAACTCAACCAATGCGAGTGTATTTGATTTTCTGTTTATTTGGGGTAACACTGTGTCTTCTTCACTGAAGATGGTTTAAATATTTAAGTATTGACCTTTGGGGGGGGTGTCAATAAATGTTCCAGAAAGGTATGCAATTCAGCGCTAAAATGTCTGTTTATTTTGAACTTAAGGCTCTTTAAATAATGGAAAGGTAGTTTTGTCCACAGGGATCTCTCTCAGCGGACACAGTAAAACTTCTAATTAAATAGATCTCTTTGGCACTCTTTCATTTGTTTTACTTGTTTATTCTCCCAGGACACTCTTTCTCTATGGCCTTCAAAGGACTGGAGTGCATGGAATATTTTCTTACTTAGATTTTAGTAGCATGATGGATTGCTTTCAATTGAGCATCATTCCACTGGTGGCCATCCATAATTGATTCTAACTATCACCTTATCAATTATGACTGTTTCATAGGATCAACTCATTGGCTGAGCTCCTGTCACAATTTCCTAAAATTATCTTTAGTTGTTTCCCCCTCTTAAGTAGGTTTCTTTATAAAAATTCAAGACGTAGCCTGTGAAAGAATTGTAATAAATGTTCTGACAACAAAAACTGCAGTTACGAAAAAATATATTCTATATAATTAATTTCCATCAGAAATCTAGGCCAAGTCCGACCTTGCTGTTGTAAACATTAAATCCAGTTAAAACCAAAAATATTCCTCACTCAAGCTAACATCTCTCTACCCTCTCTTCCCCTCCCACCGCAAAACCATCAGAGTACCTTTCTTTAGTGTGAAATCCTGTCCTAGTTTTTCATAATTAAGCCAATGTAATAAACTATTTACTTATTTGTGATTAGCTAATATCATTTAGTACATTGTTATCTAGATTCATCATGTTATGAGGTGTTTCACAGATCTATTGCTATTCTATAGAATTCTATAGTACTCCACTAGGTGTATGTAAGCAAGTATTCATCCAGTACTCCACAGATGGAGTTTAAGTTACTTTAATCATTTTTCCTATTGTGTTACTGTGATGAATATGAGTATGCAGATCCCTGCTGATGCCACAGCTCTTATTATTTTGGGATATATACTAACTATATATACCAAGGGATTGATGGGTCCTGTGATATTTCCATTGTCAATCTTTTTTGGACATTTC